GCGGTCATATGGTTTGCCGTCTTTTTGCTCAGGAGCCACCTCCAGTGCCTCCTCTTTCATTCTTCTGTGGTAGGAGATTATGACATTAAATAGCATGATTCCACCATAATTTTCTAGGATTTCTTCCATAAGTGTTTATCCGCTCCAAAAGTGTTTCATGGGAAAATTAACAAAAATGAGTGCACGTACGCGGTAAAATTCCACAAAGCCTATTATAAAGGCACAAAATGACAACCAAAATTACCACGTAAATTGGACTCATCCTACTCCCATGATACAACCTTCTGGGCCATCGGATCTCAGGAGGCAGCTGAGGAGTTGCTGTAGCTACTGCACTTGTGCGCATTTTTTGAACTCCTCAAGGGCTTTTTTACAAAAATGTTCGTCATCTCACGAGAGCCCTTGACTCTAAGATCCAAAGGCCGAGCTCGCACGGAGCACATGAAGGTGCTCCCGAGGCACTAGATATATTTCCCACTTGCGATAACATTGGTGTGGAGATTCTTTTTCCAAAGTAGCACCCGCCATACTCACTCCTCATTTCATCAACATAAAAGCAAATGTTAGCGGGCCCATTCCAAAGGCAGAATATTTTAGTAATTCATGTGATTAAGAAATACAGTATAATATTTTGCCTAATCGAAGCAGAATATTTTGCTTTTTCGAGAACAATAATATTTTGCTTTTTGTCTGCAGGGAATATTTTGCACCTTCATGTGATCAAGAAATATAGCCTTGTACCATTTCTTTTCCAAAGGCACATTCTTTTAGTAATTCATCTAATATGGTTCTGAGATGCCTTGTTTTCTCATGCAACTAAGAATTCTTTTGGACCAACCATTCTTTATATAAACTTAATATCACTATCATTCCGATAGGCTTTACATCTTTTTCATATGATTAAGAGAGGCAGGCGCAGTTTTCTGTCAGGCTCGTATTTTTTTAATACCCAATTTTCATAATATCTGTGCTTTCCTTTTCTTCATGTGATTAAGACTAAACTTAAGAGTGGTGGGGGCAGTCAGCTGGCGTATGATTAGGCTACGGCCATTGGCAGAGGAAGGAAAGGGACGACCCATCCATCTTGGCGTGGTTATTCTGTAGCTGTCGCCGGGCCCACGGGTCACATGCACACGGACGGATAGGGCCGCACGGAGGAGACTCGCACCGACGGGTTACACTCCGCCGCGCGATCTCGACCGTGAATAATGTGATCAACGGCTCGTGCCATTCCCAAGAGGCGATTTGCCTGTGCCGCTCCCGCACCACACACCACACCAGCGTCCATGTGCTCTCTCTGCGGCCTGCGTTTCGGCGACTTTGGTCAACAGGCTATGGAAACTGTTTTTATTTGGTCTCTTGCAAATATGTCCTGCGAGAGATGGGGAATTATTTAACACATCATCCTTTTTTTTGCGAATCATCCTTTTTCTTTTGACCCGACACACGATCCTTTGGAGGATTGTACAATTGCCAATTGGTAGCGTCGGCAGTCTCTTGTAAACATGGTAGGTCATATGCTATATGTCACAAGATTTTCCTATAGGTTGGGTGGTCAAGCTAGGTATCAAGATAGATTCTTTCTCTGTTCAGAACCATGTCACTTAGTATGTTTGCATAATCATTAAATGCTGTAGAGATGGCTATAGAAATATGTAGTTTTAGAGAACGTCAATGATTGGACAATTGGCATGCTGTCGGCATCGATTATATGTCAAGTCACTTAATGGTTAATTAATTTGATATAATATCAAGTTTATTTGTGACCTGATGTATGTTTCAGTTATCTTTTCAATTATTTTTCAATTTTTTTGAGAAATACCAAGAAAAAAAAACAATATCTTGCGCCTGTTTGTACATATAGATCATGAATGCGTATATGTATCAAACATGTTTGTATTATGCAATGTCTTCCCCTTCTTCCATTTCGGATCAAAATCATCCTACCCTACTCCATCCACCATCATTGGAAGACCCTATTTGCTTTTGCTTTCGTCTTTTTGTTGTTGTTGAGGAATTTGCTTTCGTCTCTTGTTATACTAATCAAGCCATGATATCCTCAAAGTCTCATAATTTCAGTCACATAGCTTTGCGAATCCAAATGCCTAACTCTTTTTCGATAGCTCATTGCTGGAACTCATTTTTTTTACGATGAAAGATTCACCAAAAATATAAACACATGGTCGATATTTTCTTCTTCTCTTCAGGTTTCATGCATGACTTGTGATTTCCCCCCTATTTGGAAACACAAAATGATCTAATTTGTATGTTTATTTGGTGGATATTTAGAAAGTACTTCTCTTGTTTCAGATTAGGAGGCGCATACTTTTCGAGATCTAAATTTGAACATCAATTAGATCGCAATAATACATAATTCATGCGGCTTAAAATATCAATATTGTACTATAGAAAACCCTTTTCGAATACATATTCAATGGTATAATTATTTGTGGCACATTGCCCACATTTCCTTGGTTAAATTCATGGCCAAGCTTGAATCAACTAGTTGTCATTTTCTCTGGCTTCCCTTTTTGCCATCTAATCCAGTGACGGAGTACGAGCACATTTATGACATTCCCAACTTCAAATGCCAAATAACACATTTCCCAAAATATCAAAATTTAGCCAGCTGTGGTAGCCGGTCATACAAGGGATGTAAACCTTTGTCCAGCTATTTGATTTGGACAATTCCCTGAATTGTCGTCCATGGACACCATCCAATCATGCAACAACTTAAAAGAAATCACATCTTACCAAATCACCCACTGCTCCCACAGCCAGGGCCATCTTTTCTCCGAATTGCGACCGTGCACGAGTACCAAACTGCAAAAGATCCACCCCCTCCCTGCAAACGTCCCACTCTATAAAGGAAACCAACAACGCAGCGCTTCCCCACCACCACTCCCACCACTTCGAGCGCCTCCTCCTGTCTCGCCCTCGCCCCCCGTCCCCTCGTCGGCGCCCGATCTAAGGTATCTAATCGCATCGCCTCCCCTCTCCTCCTCCCCAGATCTCTCCCTATTGGTTCCAGCCGCCTAGTCCGGCGATCCGCGCGGCGGATCTCCCTCGCCGTTGTTTTTCCGGTAGATGTTTCGTTCTGGATCTGGTCTCAGGCTCTCAGAAATGAGATGGATCGTGCGCTTCTGTGCCCGTATGGTTCAGGATCCGTCGATGTAGGATGCGTGTATCTCGGAATTGCGCCTAATTACTTTTGTGGTGGTTGATTTGTTGGTAGTGGCGTCCATTTCACTTTTGCCCATGATAGATTTGTGGGGATCGGGCTTGTAGTTTGGGGAATTGGGCGCGGAAAGTCTGCGTGCTCAAGGCAGTTTCTCCGTGAGGGTTGACCTTGCCTAGATTTGAAGATTCTAGGGCATGTGGTTCGTAATCGTACCAATGTCACTGAAGTTTCAGGTTAGCTGGTGTGGGGGAACTGCCGACTAGACCTGTGATGTGCATCTGTTCTGTGTAGAGAAGGTTGGATGATGGCGATTTTGTAACAAATCATAGAAGAGATGTGCTGGTATGTGGTGATATCAGCTGTGTTTTGTCGTTTATAGGTGAATGATCTTGTTTTGATGGAAAAAGTGCTGACGTTCACAAGATGCTCAGCCAATTCAGGGGAAACTTTTGGAAAATATACAACGGAATTTCAAATGGACTTGTTGTCGTTGTGCCATGTTAGGATTGTTCCAACCCATGTATGGTGTAGGCCTGTAGAAACCTATCTGGCTTGTTTGTTATATCGTGGTTGATGCTTAGTCTCAGGCAACCTCTTTGGTGATGACTTGTAGCAGTAAAACTTAAGGGATAACTTGCCTAACTGAAAATGAAGTATGCCAAACACCCTAGTTATATCCAACAATCTCAAAGTGTCCTTAAATGGCATCAAATATGCAATGGATCGGTATGATATGTTTTTTTGCCAATTTAAACTGGACCTACTGTCTGGATTTTGCTTGTTGTATGCTTGGGTGCTGGCTGCAGTGCTAGGCCACACATATACTGTGTAATTTGGTCTTGGAAGGCACCAAATTGCAGTCCAGTTGAAAAATCAATCCTAGGATTGATTGAAGTGAGATTTGATCTTTAAATATCTTATCTTACTTGAGTGACCTTGAGTTTCTATTAACTTGCTGGTCTGTATGAATGTGTAGTTCACTTCTTCATCGTGTTTCCAAACCGCACTTAGTGGCGAGGAACCTGTTGCCCTCTTATTTTTATCTTCTCAACCCAAAGATGCTGAATTTTTTGTCTTTGTCATTCGTTTAACCGTATAAGGTTTTGAGATGCTATCATCTCCTCTATTGATTATGCACTCTTAACAGAGATATAAATGTTTTCACTAAGCACAATGCTGTGGATATCTACTGTTTGATGTTGATTAGTTGCCCTGGATTGAGTTATATTTTGGGTCTGGATTGCCTCATTTCCAGGTTGCCCTGTATTGACTGGTAACCACCATTATCCTTATCAACATGTCCTGCAAGCATACTCTATGCCCTTTGTTAGAAGTTCTTATTAAAAGCAACTGTTAGATATTCTTTCACGGCCACACTCAAACTATATTTTCTCATGTTAAGAGTTTTATCTTTATTTTTTCACAGAAGTTGATCTTACCTAACCTGTGTATGCTTTAATTGACATCTTACCTTGTGGCTTGTGATAATATCTGACCCTGTTTGACTTCGTTCAGTCTAAGCAGCACTGGTCACTTAATCTTACTAAGCATTCTTGTTTGAAGACTTGGTTCAGCATGCATGCTTTGTTCTGTCCTCTGCTCCTAAATTACCATGATATTTCTTTAAATGCCACCATCTAAACATATGATGTCAAGATTCACTTGGCTTATGTAGTTTATCCCTGAGATCTGAATTTTTTTGGGAACTTTTATCCCTGATGATTTCATTTGCTGTTTTGAAAATGTATTGCACTCTGACAATCATGCTGAACTTGTTCACTCATATGTTGCACTTTACCTATTTATCTTAACAGTCAAGATGAGTCGTGGCGGGAGTGCTGGTGGTGGTCAAAGTTCTCTGGGTTACCTGTTTGGAGATGGTGAGCCTGCAAAGCCCGCTGCAGCACCAGCTGCGAAGCCCGCACCTGCTGAGAAACCAGCACCGGCAGCTGCTGATGTAGCCAAGCAGATTCCAGCTGGCATTCCAGGTAGCCGGGCGAACAACTACTACCGTGCAGATGGCCAGAACACGGGCAACTTCCTTACGGTATGTTTTTTTTGCCTTGTAATGAACCCAATTCGATCCAGCTAATTTCCCCTTTCAAATTTCATCTGTTGAGGTATATCAGAAGTTTCCATTGACATAAGATTGACACAAGTTTAATTACTGTTGGCTTCTCCATCATTAATTTGTATGCTAGAAGAATGTTCTGCCCGGTGCACAGTTTTCACAACTACCTACGTGGGTTCATGTTAAGCCACCAAGAATTTATTTCGTTTTGTGATATTTGTTTGTACTACCGTTAATAGTGTAACAAGAATGTAACGGGTCCACCCCACCTGAAATGTAACGCTAAGCAAATGAGTTAAGCATCTTGTTAATTCGGCCTACTTTAATGTTTTGATTTTATAGTGAAAAGATATCCAGTCGTCATTTTTGGTCTCTTACATTTTTGTGTTTGTTTACCATGTGGGCTGATGACTTTGTTAACCCTTGCAGGACCGTCCTTCAACCAAGGTTCATGCTGCTCCTGGCGGTGGCTCCTCCCTGGGCTACTTGTTTGGCGGAAAGTGATGTTAATGATGCTGCTTAATGAACGAACGATGAATTGGCCTGTATCTCTGTTATCCATGTGGTGAAAACTGGAAGTGTTTGGTTTCAGCAGTTTACCACCTGCGTCGATGTACTCTGTCTGTATGGTTCATTGTGTCCAGGCTGACCTCCTGCTTGGAAGCCAGCTTGCCTAAAACCTGTCGCTTTCAAACTAATCTTGTTCATCTCAAAACTTGGTGTGCCTAATTCTTTGTTTGCCTGCACCCTAGCTGTGTCAAACCTTGGATTTATGATTTTATCAGCTGTGGGCATTGTGTTACTGTTGCCATTAGCATGCCCAGCTCCATGTTTTTTTGAAAGAAAAATCACTTTATTAATTCAGAAAAAACGGTTACATCGTCTAATAAGATAGATTCAATTTTGCTCATAGGTTCCCCAAACCAAAATTGGTAGTAGAAAATCTAGCTAAAAGAGCAAGTTCATGAGCTTCCTTGTTACAATTATTTGCTTACTTGTTACAGTGTTAAAATCTAGTGAACGAAAATTCACAAACGAAAAACTGCCCAGCTCCATGTTTGGATCACTCATGGATAACATTACAAGCTATGAGTTGTGACTCATACATCATGCACAGTTTATGCATAGTACCATTTTTGGAGAACTAAACATAAGCACTTGTGCTGTGGTGGGCTTGTTGCGTGGTTCTTGGTAATACTGAGACAATAAAGGGGTTTTCCCGCTTTATATTATAAAACAACCGCACGATACAACAGGCATGCTGGGCTGCAGAACAACCAAGCCCAAAAGAAAATTTCTGGTAATATTGCCACCATACACATCGACCTTTCCTGGTTCTTATGGAATAACAAAGATTATTCTACAAAAGTAATATGACAAAATATCAACATTTTTGTTCATTTTATACTAGATGCTTGCATGCTGCAGAGAAGATTAGGAAGAGAAACGTGTGAGAAACTTGTACGTAATTTTCAGTGAGGGGAAACGTATAAGAAATTGTGGTTACCTTTTTTGACCTAAAAAAAATACCTCTTTATTCAGTAGATAACACCATGGAAAATTATTGATAGAGGCAAGTTTTCAAAGCAGACGTGCCGTCCCCGACCCTCGCGTCGCCTCTCCTAGGCAACACGGGGAAACCCTAACGCGCCGCCGTTGTCTCTAGATCTAGCCCCTTCTCGTGTCGCCGCCGCCGCAGGGGGCGCCGACAAAGTCCATGTGTGCCCAGGGAAGGTGCCGGTGGGGCGTTCCTGCTCCTGTGGCTTCGCTGCATGGGTCTTGACCTCATGACGGCGTAAGCGTGCCTCTCTCCGTCGGCCTTCTCTCCCGATGGCAGGTGCTCCTTCGTCAGGCGGTGGCGCCTCCCTTTGGCTGCCCGCGCAAGACGCATAGCGGGACTGTCATTAGGGATCGCCGCGGAGGGCTCCAACGAGCGTTTGCATGTCTTGTGGCGAGCTGGGCACGACCGTGTGCCCTGACCGTTGTCGTGGTGCACCGACGACTGCTCCATGGGCTGGTGCTGCAGGCGGGCCTGATATGGGCCATGCAGGCCTACATCTGTTTTGCTTAGTGGTGTGGTCTTCGGCAGTGTGGCAGCCTGCATACGGTGGATCTCGCCATAGCTGCTCCGGTCCCAGTGGGCCTGGACCTGCGTTCTCCGGTGTCCTAGGCTCGTCAGCTCTTTACCATAGAGATTATGGCCCTGGTGCTCTAGAAGCTGCGCCCTTTCCGGCTTCCTTGGCTCGCTGGCGTGCTTGGCGGCTCCGGCCTCATTAGACCTGATCTGTGTCTCTCCAGATCTTTGCTTGCCGACGTGTCGGCTGTTGTCGCTTCTCATATGCTGGTTATCCACGCCTTGTCACTACCTCTCCAATCCTGAACGCCACCCCTTGCATCGCCCTTCCTTCACTAGATCCAATGCACGCACGTCTGGCAGTGCCGGTTATTATCATTTGGCGAGGGGCGTAGCCCCCCTTCAGTGGCAGTCTACGACATGTTCCACGTCTTCGAATCTTGTCTTGCTGCTTTGGGATTGTTCGGACATAGGCCAGGGCGAAATCCTTGCTCGGCTTGCTGATGCTGGCAACGGTGACTCCCGAGGTGCTGTTATCTTCTTGGAGGCGCTGCCACAACCTCTCTCCGAGCCCCTCTTCGAGCAACAAGGGAAATCTTAATTTTGAGGTCTGATTCCTTAGATCAAATTATGACGACATCATGACATTGTATCCCTTCATGAAGGCGCCGTCTTGTTTGCTCATGGCATGTCTGGTACTGGTTTTCAAGACCGGTACATCGTTTCGGGTCATTTCTCTTTGCAGGGTAGTTTTGTGCTAGGCCATAAACTTCGTCTGACCAGACATGTGACGTTATATAAGCCCTCTCCGACCTTTTCTTCTTTGAAGCAGTGATTTCCTTCTCTAGATTGCGGCAACCATCGTCTCTTGTCTTCATCTACAACTTCCGTTCGTTGGTTCTACAAACTCCCGAGTTCAAACAAGTTTGCTTTGCTGAACCGCAGGCCTAAAGCCAACAACGTGCTTTGCTCATGATGCGCCATCATAGATGACGGAGGAGAAAGACTTCAACACCCCAAGGACATGGATGTATTTTTTAAAGTTTTGAAAGAATATTTTTATACGGGTCTATGCATACATGACCTTTTAACATTTTCATAAATGAACAATCAAGTATGAATCTAACAGTTAGAAAACCTTTTACTATATATATATATATATATATATATATATATATATATATATATATAATGCCACCTTACAAAAAATGCTGGAAAATAAACTTAAAGGAAAGAATAAAAATGAACATATAGCATATGGGAGCAAATTTAACGTGACATATTTCAATCATGCAAGAATAGCACAGTGAACTAGAACTCTAATGAAACACAACACTGTAGCAAATTGCACGCATGGATCACCCGAAACCTCACATTGGCGCCCCACAATGCTCCACGAACAAAACTAGTGGGAGAGTT